TGCTAACTTACTATATTTGCATTTCCTGAACTGATATGCAAAGCAAAATGCAATTGCCATCCAGTGTTTGCACTTTCCCAAATGGTACAGCAGAGTTTTTAAAAGAAAAATGCCTACAGACACATACACGCAAACAAGCATGTATATTAGCAAAAGGGGTGTAGGAAAATGCATGTAACCGCTGGACTCACAAGAACAGATTTAGGGGTGAGAAGGGGAATTAAGTGTGAATGGAGTATGCCCCAACTGCAAATCCCAATGTGCTCTTTTAATTCACTGGCTTTGGGAAAAGGATGCTATCATTCTTTTCTCTTCTCCTGCCCTTCAGTCTGGGTGGAACTAATGCACATGGGAATAATTGCGTAGAGAAACAGAAGCAACTGGTTGGGTTTTTCTCTTCTTCTTTCCCTTAGATTTAAAGGAAGCAAGAAGGATGATCTCCTGGGGATTTCTTATAACAGGCTGATTAGGATAGACACAGCTACTGGGGACCCAATTACAACATGGAGATACTCAAATATGAAACAATGGAATGTGAACTGGGAGATACGGCAGGTAAAATGAAACGTTTCCTGGAACCTTTTCTGCTATGTTGCTACTTGATTAAAATTTCTTCACCTGAGAATAGTTGACTGAAGAATTGCAAAGGCTCTTGTTTACTGCTAGTGGAAGAAAAGTTCTCTGGAGCAGAGAAGAAAACAAGTTGGATCTAGAAAATGAAATAGGGTAGGTGGAAATATATATTCGCCTTCCCTGATCACAACCTTCTCTGACTATTTTATTGGTTGAGAGAGGGCTCTGCTGATAGAAGATGTTTCTTATCTGATTTTTAAGAATCTCCCATATCCCTCAGTCCCCCTCTCTCAAACATAATTTTATCTTAGCATTTGTTGTTGTTGTTGCCTTCTAGTCAGTCTTGCCTCCTGGCAAGTGCCTGGACAAGTCCCTGCAGTTTTCTTGGCAGGATTTCGAAAGTGGTTTGCCATTGCCTCCTTCCTAGGGCTGAGAGAGAGAGACTGACCCAAAGTCATCCAGCTGGTTTCATGCCTAAGGTGGGACTAGAACTCACAGTCTCCTGGTTTCTAGCCTGGTGCTTTAACCACTACACCAGACTGGCTCTACCTTAGCATAGTCCCAAACATACTTTGTATAACATGGAGGGAGGGTTGGCTAGTCTGACCATAGGCATTTAATTCTGGATCCAATTGAAATATATGAAGAGATAGCACAGCAATATCCTCATTAGAATTGTTAAAAAGTTCAAAGAAGAGAAGCTAAAACACTTGACACAATAAATAATTTAACCAACCATTCAGCCACAAGATATGATAATAAATGCAAGCTTGATAGCAATAAAAGGACTTTTAGACACACATCAGTGGAGATAAAAGGCAGATCTCTTCAAAGACTTCTCAATACCACTTGCTGTGGTACATATAGCAGAAAGGCTATTCGTGCCTTTTGAGTAGATTTTCTGGATGTATTAGACCAGCCAATTTTAGAAAGAGACTGTTGGACCAGCTGAGCTATTAGCCTGATCCAACTCTACTGTAGAAAGGTAGACTTCCATATTTTACATCATCTGAAATCTGTGAAGTGAAATGAAGAAAAGTCTTCCAGTTTTTTCAGATGCTAAAGACTCATGAGGTTGCTGGATGCCACAAAGCATTAGACCTGGGAATCCCATATTTCCACGGTGCTATGCAGAGCCAGTTGTTTGCATTTGGGCAGGCAGCAAAGGGTGCTTTCAGACCAATGGCATCTCACTCCAGCAACAACAAAGGCAGCTGTTTGTCCACCTTTCTTTTTCAATGAACGTTTAATGGACAGGG